TATAAATTGAACAAGGTTAAGCTGCTAAATGCTAGGAAGAAACCCGAAAGGTTTGGGGTGAATCTAGAGTGTAATTCAAAAAAAACGGCGGAGTATGTTCCGCAGATTTCATGGAGCTAGATGCTCTTGGGTGATGAACTGCAAAAAAAAGGAGTCTGCAGGACGTGGCTCGTTCATCCGACATCTTTGTGCTGTTTGGAACTGTCACCTACGTGGAGTCTTTCTCAAATCACATCTTTCGGCTTGGGATGCTGCGATTTCCATCACGTTTTCCTGAATCAAGTTTCCTCGAGCTGTTGTAACTCGCGAGAAGCGAGCTTATGGCTCTCTTCATGATGCTTTGAGAGGCAGGGCTCAAAAAGAGGTAACTTGTAGATGCTGCAACTGGACAGGACCAGTTAGGGCGCACCCGGAATGCTGGCACAGCACCCGGCGATGTGTTCCGGCGATATTCCTTGTAAGTGGTGAAGAATTGCTGCTTGAAAAAGGAAGAAAAGATAATTGAAAAGCAAAAAAATGCAAAAAACAACCCGTACCGATGGTGGAGGGACTCCGATGAACATCGATGAACGATTTTCAAGGGACTCCACTTGGGCATTTTTTGGGGTTTGGGCCTCCTCGGTGCAAACACAATACCCAAAAGACCCTAAAGAACAACGTTGGGAATCGAGGTTTTTCATGTGTATGATGCTGGAAAGGTATAAGGTTTCCTTTCAGAAATTGGATCGCCTCAGACCGCACCATTTCACCACTTCTGCGCAGCTGCCATGGCGTCGGTCTTTTTTTCTCTCCAGCAGCCCTCCTGTACAGCGGCATGTGGAGGTGACGATGGTCCTGGTGACGATGCTCCACGTGTTTTCGGTCCAACACGGTCCCAAACAGCGGCAAACATCAACGTCCAAGCCGTCGGAGTACTACAACTGTTGGTTCCAAGGAGTACTACAACTTTGATCAGCCGATTCATCAGCTCACAACGTCGTTGGTTTGGTTTTTCCCGGTTTCTGAATGTTTCTGGATTCTGGTGGTATGTGAACCCCTCACTAAAAAAAGGCCCGACATGAAGCAGTTTTACCAAACGAGTCAATCAAAAGTCTACGTTATTAATAGAATGTCCAGCTTGCATCTTCTTCTTGCTACAGTATTCCCTTTGTTCTCTTCTTGCTCTCTCCCTGCTCTTCTCCGTCGTATCTATGTCTATGTTTCCCCTTGCAAACTCCTCACCCTGGCCCTTTCATATCTTTCATCCACTTTCAACACCTTCGCCACTACGTTCGCCCTAGTCCGTTTCACGCCCTATTCCAAAACCCCTTCGCTTCACCGTGCCACACCGTGCCACACAGCCACGCCTAGGTCGGAGTGAACTGCTCCGTCTGCAAGGCTTCCTACGGGTCGTGACGGAGCGAAGCGAGACATCGACAGGAGCAGCTTGATTGGGCGCGTTGAGGTCACTCGGTTTGTTCAGACGAAGCGTTGTTCAGCAAACAAAAGTTGGAAGAGAATGGATTCATGGATGCATTCCTGGCACCCACCCCAATCACCCGACCGAACTGGAGTTAATCCCAGACCTGCAATTGGAGGGTGTTGATTGGAGATGCCAAACAAAATCACACGCCACGTCTTGGCTTCAAGGTCGACCCCATCGTTCGATTTCGTGTATTCCATGTTCCATGTATACAAGTGGTTTCGGAGCTACACTCAGTTTGGAGAATCACTAAGATTTAATACCCATCGTTGCGGCATGGGTACTGCTTTCCAATCCCACTGCGCCTTCCTCCGATTTTCTCCGGGCCAGTGGGCAACACTCCGAGGGTTTCACCACCACACGTCAAACAGCTCATCACCTGAACACCAACGAAACACACCGAAAGGTTGCCTGACTCTTATTTCACACAAAGCCCTCTTTCCATTCTTTCAGACAGACCAACCCCCCAAAAAACATTCTTTGAATCATCCCAAGTCCCAAGTATATGGTTTTGTTTCACAGTTTTCCTGGATTTTTTAAGCTCGCTCCATAACATATTCCAAAAACATCCAAAAACTTCGCCACCTTCTGTTTCTCTTTCCCTTCACCTTCCTTCACTCGCTGGCACCACGCTCCGACCACCCCAACCAACGCGCCATCGCTGTTCGCTCATCCGCCCGCCGTGCACCTGGAGCTTCGCGAAGAAATCGCGCACCACTGAGGTGAGGCTGATCCTCTAGAGTGTGGAGCCGTTGAAGCTTGAAGGGCGCCACGGGCCGGTTCATGCGATCGGTTCATGCCATTTGGGAAAGCGCTCGTGTAGAGAAATTTGCCAAACTTGGGATTGATGTCTGGTCTTGCTTCGCGGGTCTTGCCCACAAGTGGGGGCTCAAGCTAGCCGCCCCAAAAGAACTCCATTGGTTGTGGTTTATACGCCATCCACGTCACCCTATCAAGCTGAGTTTTTGGTTCTTTGTGGACGACGAACATCTCTGTCATCGCAGAAACACGCATGATCACATCATAGGACATGGACCCTGTTAAACATTCCACTGGCAAGTTTGCTGGGTTCACTGCGTGTGCGGGGGGCGTTTGTCACTGGTCTTAAAGGTTTGTTGCATCTTGGAATCGTTGGATGTGTTGCTGCCCAGCTGCACACGAGTTCGCAGGTCGTAGAAGGGTTGAAAGGAGATCACCTGCCGGCGGCGGTGCTGTTGGCCAACCCATGGTAAACAGTGAAAAAGACACTACAATCACAACCTACTGTATTGAACGTCGTATTGGTACACATTGTGGAGTGGAAGGGTATGCAATCAAACGAATATACACACGAATACCCACTAGTGCTAGCTGCTAGCAAGCCGGACAAAAGTTTGATGATAATAGGCAATATATGGTCTTTGCAAGAGACAAAAACTGATTGCTAAGTCAGGTGCCATCTGCCCAGCCCAAAAAGACATTTGACCCCACGACATGAAACCACTAGTGAACTAAGTCCCAGAGCCTATGCTCTGTGGGAATCAGCGAGGCTCCAAAAATCCCGGCGGGCTGTTGACAGCCCCTCGCGGCCTCCTCTCCCATGAAGGACCCCCAGGAGGTATTCTCCTCAGATTGGATTGAGCTGAGATGACCTGCCGTGCTACACCTGTGGCATGACAAGCTTTCAACCACGCTACTGCCGAAGTCTGAAGTCCTTCGACGGCGTTGCCACTGCCCACCGGAAAATGAGTCATCCACAGTCATCCACCAGCAATCGTGCAATAAAAGCATTCAACTTCGTCCAGCCCATTGTCCAGTGATGCGGTTTACGGGAATCTGTGCAACCAACAAGTAGCACGTAATACATGCCAAGGGCTTTCTTCGTCAGCGACAGCGGTGCAGACAGTGCAGAGCGAGTTGCTCACCAACCAGGCATGGCAAGTGAGGTCCAATGAGATATGTTTGAAGACTACGTGTGAAAGCCCGAGCAGCAATGTGGAGCTGGCATTAGGTAGTTCACAGCTCAGCACTCGATCCGCTCAGCACTCGACCCCGTTCTGTCATGCTTTGTTCAAGAATTTGGCACCAAACCAATGGTCTAAGTGAGCTGTTCATTTCTGGACGAGTAGCTTCAACAATCCAAACTCAAGTATGCTAACGTCACACACAGTAACAACTCATCCAGCGGCCCAGGGGCAGCTTGATTGGGTTGCTTCTTAGAAGGTCTTATTTTTGAGTGACTTGGTCTCCCCCCTCCCTCCATGGCTTCAAGCATTTTGGTGGTTGCGATCTCAAAGCCGAACCAGCGTTCACCGACCAACGGTTGGACCAACCCCGTCCCCGGCGTGGTGAATGTGTTTCTTCCCGTTGGTTGCTCTCGGAGTGCCACGGCTTTTTTTAGGCCAAGCTTGAAAGGGTTCAGTCTAGTCAAGCTCGAACCTGAATCCCGGCGGGCTGTTGACATCCCCTCGCAGCCTCCTCTCCCATGAAGGACCCCCAGGAGGTATTCTCCTCAGATTGGATTGAGCTGAGATGACCTGCCGTGCTACACCTGTGGCATGACAAGCTTTCAACCACGCTACTGCCGAAGTCTGAAGTCCTTCGACGGCGTTGCCACTGCCCACCGGAAAATGGGTCATCCACAGTCATCCACCAGCAGTCGTGCAATAAAAGCATTCAACTTCGTCCAGCCCATTGTCCAGTGATGCGGTTTACGGGAATCTGCGCCAAACCAGCAAGTAGTATGGGCTAGATTCCTATTTCTTCTGCAATGCGGAAGGAATTTGTCACGAGGGATGGCAATTGAGGTCCAATGAGATATGTTTGAAGATTCCGTGTGAAAGCCCGAATTCAAGAATTGGGCGCCAAACCGGTCTAAGTGAGAACAACTCATGTCTGGACGAGAGGTGGACAGTCTGGGCAAATGCATGTTTTTGTGTCTAAAGCAGCCCCGTCCCACGAGCGCCCGACATGAATTGGGTGGTCCCCCGTCCCACCAGACCGTCCCGGCGTGAAATTCTTCTGCTCTCGGAGTGCCACAGATGTTTTGACCAATTGGAAGGGTTCAGTCGTTCGTCAAGCTCGAACCTGAGTGATGATTGAAAAGTGACCTGAGCGACCTCGATCACCCACACCAAACAAAGTTAAAGAGATCATGCATCTATCTTTTCCATGCTTTTTCCATCTTTTTCCTATCAAAGAACGGTTTTCAGCCATGTCATGGGTGGGGCGAGGTCGTGATGTGGCGGGAGGGTTCAACATGGTTCAATCGGGGAGGACATCTGTCCAAGAAATGAGGTGAACATTTCAGAAACCTGGGGATTTCTCGAAGGGAACTGAACGTTCACAGCTGAGAAGAACCTCTTTGTGCTCGACTTGATCATCCGCTGCATCCCAGGGCCCGGTTCTTCGTCTCAAGTTATCAGCAGCCAAGAAAAAAAACATGGAACACCAAGCAGACCTTCATCAGACCTTCATCTTGCGAAGTATAGCTGCAAGGCTTGTGAACCCATTTATCACGGCACAAGCCTTTTCTGCTGTCATATGCTGTCATGCGCTGTCACCGCTCTGCCTGGAGCGACGTCGCCGTCTACGACCGAACCGAAGGACCCCGACGGAAAAAGAGGTCGGGCGGTCGAACTGCCACCCCAGCCACTTCAGCCACTTCCCCAAGTCCAGTTGCCACTTGCCTATATATATATATATAGTATACACATACCTAACCTGAATGACCTCTATTTTGGACCACCAAACACCCAAAATATGGCCTTTTCCTATCAAAGCAGGGGTCAGTTGGGTTCCAGGTAGGGATTCAAACCGAACCATTGACACCACGTCAGGAACGGTCGCTCCAATCGCTTCCTTGGCACCATGAGGTCGCTCAAACGCTCGAGGGTTCCTTCCAACTGGGCCTGAAAGCGGTCGCGGTGGAGCAGCGCGAGCTGGTCGCGCAGATCTCCCAGACGGTCGTGGGAGATCGGCGCGAGTGGGAACGGACGGTGGATGACGTTGTTTCGAGGTGAAGAAGGGATGAGGAACGATATGGAACGATGGGTGCTGTGTTCTGGAACGGGCTGGGGGGATTTAATTTCAATGAGCCGCGAAGATGTTGAAAGGTAACGTGAAGAAAGTGAACTCTATACCCCCTTGTGGTTCCAACTGCTTCACCTTTTCCCATGAATGGAATCAACCAACGGAGTGTCACAGTGTCACTGGAATGACGAAGCAAACTGAAGACTTCCCACTTCCAGCACAGCTCCAACGGTCACGGCGGAAAAAGAAGGACTTGGAAAGTCTGGCCATGCAAACCTTTTTGTAAGCCAGGCAAACCACCGGTGAAAGCTGTGCTGGACTTGACATGACTCTACACCCAGGTTGTGAAGGACATGCGCATCAAGTGTGAAGCGAATGGCCCATCGGTTTATACAAACAGATCAACGTCATCCACCTCCTCACTGAGAATGAACATAAATGGCTACATCCTAATAGTACAATGAAGAAGTACAACGACGACAACAACCACAAGCACAACGACTACAACTATACGGCGACAACTACAACTACTACTACCACGTCCACATTACTGTAGTGAACTACTGCCTATCCTGTATACTGCCTACTGCAACTGTGATGCTATAGGCCTAATTTGTACCTTAGAAACACCTCGCCTCGAGGTTTATCGTCGAAGCCTCTCCCTCCATCGACCCGGCACCATCGACGCCTGATGAAACTCGAAGAGCTTCTTCTTGGCCTCGTCACAGCGCATGAAGTAGCCTGGTGACGTTCGTCGCGCATGTTTGTTTCGTCCAACGGGAAGGGGCGGTGAACCGGGGAACCGCCGCGTGGCCCAAGCAGAGACCGAGTGGGGAGTGGTGTGACCCAAGGGGCGAGCAGGGTGAAGGAAACACCCGACCGCAGAGCTGAAGATGCTGGAGAAGCAACGATTCTTTCAACGATCTTCAGCGGCGGGTATGAGAGGACGTGCATGGTCTTGTGTTGGTCGCATGGTTTGCGGAAGAACCTCACCTGACGCCCTTCTTCCCGCGGCTGTTCTTCCCACCTCCACGACCCCCAGGTCGGCTTGTTCCACCAAGCGGCCGTGGGCATAGGTCCACTTGAGGAACCGCCTGGCACTGTGATCGATAGTCCGGCTTCAGGGGAGCGGAAGTCAGAAGTTCCAGCGGCCACAAGATGGAGGACGTACACGTGTACAAATCCGCCCCACCAAAAAAGAATGAACAAGATTCCACATGTCAAGATGGTTTAAATTGTTTTAAGGCTGTAGTTGTATAGGTAAATACTATAAAGTATCGGTCATGATGTTTCAGTCCAATGAATAATTATCTATCATGAATCTATAGGAACCCGGAATTCATCTTGAGGAGTCACACCACGTTGAGCCTGCTGTGGCGGATCTGCTGGCAGGCCTGTTCCATGAAAGCCACATCGCTGACCTGGGCGGTGCTCCTTGGGGCTGGAATGTGTGCCTACATTGAGCTCTGAAAAAAAAGAGTCAAGGTAGACACTCCTGAGTGACTAACATATACGTCATCCATGGCATAGGTCCCGGCAGGAAGACGACTGAACCCGTTTTGAACGGTGCCATCCACGTAACCATATCTTCCATGTTAGTGGGGTCCGAGGTTGGCATTCCGCGACACTGATCCCTGAAAGTGCCAACTGGCTCGTGAATTCCTTGGAATGAGGCTGAAATTCGAAGGACTAGCAAGTGGAAGAACGTATCCCTCCCATCTGCATTTCAGCCGTTATACTTGGCTCTTTGTGTCCCTCCATCTGAAATCCAGTCTAAATCTGTATCTGTATACTGTAGAACCCATGTTCTCAAATACTTGGTTCTCCCTTCTGCTCATTGCTCCTCAAAACACCCTCCCTTCGCCCTTCGCCCTCTCCCCTCCATTCACCCGAAGGAACCTCACCACCCAAAGGTCTATGTCGCCCCCGCCACGCGTTTCCGCCCGCCGGAACCCACCCACCCACCCGTTCTCACCACCACCACAATTAGCCAAAGCCAAAGCGCGGTCCGCTTCAGCTTCGTGGTGAAAAAAAAACGAGCAAACGAGCAAAACCGAAGCCGACCATCGGACGCAGCCGACCGCCCCCTTTCTTGCGAGAACCGGACGGATCTCCTGGACCCGAGGGACAGAAGGTCCAAGCGGACGCGGCGGAGGGGGGGGCGCCCCGTAAGACACGGGTCGCCGTGCTCCAAGCGGGAACCAAAATGAACCACTGGGCTCCAAGAAGGTATCGATGAAGGAAAAAGCTGCTAGATCAAGGATCAAGGATCAAAGGTCTTTGGGGGTCTTAGATGAAAGAGGTTCCAACTTGGAACGTTGATGAACGTTGGACATTTTGCCAAACACGTTTGGTCTAAGTGCCCCATTGGGGCGTTCTCACTCCTGGCGTTCAAACACAAAGAGACTCGGTCCACCTCAAACGCCAAACCTCTTGACATATAATATATATCATCTTGACTCTTCGAAGAACTGTGGCTTGCCCCACTTCGTTTGTACCCCGAATCTTGCTCAGACTGACTCCACTCCGAGCACTCTGAAGCTGAAGCAGCTCCCTCTCCGCGCAGCTCCGCGTCCCTTCCCCGAGGGCTTGGCCCTGGGCATCTTCGGCACCCGCTCTGCAGCAATGTGCAGAGCTTTGATAAAAGCTCGGATGGAACCCATCTGGGATGCTTCGGATGGTTCACACGTCCGGTGCCCCGCGTCGGATGCGGCAGGATGGCGGGGGGCAGTATAGATGTCATAGAGTGAAGGTTCTTTTGCGTCAGGGATGCCGTCACAAGCTCAGGTAAGCTCTCAGAGGCTTCATGTAGATGAACTCGCTCCCAACAGCTGATCTCGAAGATGACTTTCGACTCTCCAGTGGCTCACAGGACTTGTTTCCAAAACATTGACCAACATGCCGGGCACCAGGACCCCCTGTTTGAGGTTTCTATCGATAGCCCCGAAAAGAGGTTAAGGGGAGTCCATGAACCACCCCGACTGTGGGTCTCCACTGGTGCCCTGAATGTTGATACCGCCTTCAACCGGACACCGTTCGCCGCGCTTTTTTTGTTGTGGCTCTACATCTCCGCCATTCGAAGATCCAGGGTGAGAGGCCCGGTGTGAAAGTGTGAGATCCTTTTCTCAAGTCGCCTTCATGTTAGCCACAACGAACACGTATATTATATATGCATTTGAACACGTATTGCATTTCTTAAGAAAACAACGAGTTCACACACACATGCCACAAGCAAGTCACGTCTGTCGTCGCGATGTCGCGATGTCGCTCGACGAACGTCCACGTCCGTTCGAGGGGGCGGACGTTAGGAGGCGCCCGAGGACGAAACACCTGTTTCTTTATCACTCCATAACAACACCTGTTTTACACCATTATTTACGTATTTCCTTTTCTTTGTTGATCTGTTCTTCTCTGCCTTTGATTGGCCCAGCTCCGCTTAGCTTATGAACCCATTGGCACCTCATTGATTACCCCATCGATAGGTTCCATCAACTTCGCGGCCGATGGCCATGGCGAGTGGTGAAGAGCGGCAAATGGGTCAGATGGGCCCAGTAACCTCCAGGGCGACTTGAAGTCTAACCTTCAGAAACTCAGATGACATGTTTTACATGTAAAAAACAGGTCTGTTTGACCCCCTGGGGTCTAGTCTATGTAAGGTTGTTTCGTTGGTTCACCTCCGAATTCCTGTCAGAACAGCGAGGCTGTTCAACAAGGGCCCGGCTGCCGGAGACGACCAGCTGCCCGGGACTCTGTGAGACGGACGTTCGAACCATTGCTGGATATACCAGCACCTTCAAAGGGGTCTCCAATGGAATACCATATACTACTTGTGGATCTGCAGCCAGGACACCCCTTTGAAGGTCTAGGTTGTGTTCGTTGTAAAGAAGAACTCTTTCGGAACAAGTTGCTTTTTCAGCTCTGACTTCCACAATCGGAAGTATAAGACACCTGAAGCGATCCCCTAACTAGTCCCTGGTATTCCATACATGGAGTGTCTGGGGCTCCAATGTACTCATAAGACATTGTAATTTCACCTTCGTACCAAATGATTTTCGACCTTCTCATGCTCACATTGTGGGATCCTAAAAGATGGAAGAAAGCCAGCTTGGGCAATTCCCGAACACATGCTGCCGACGCTTCCTTCCCAATTCCATTACCATGACTAATGGACGTAACTCCACGGAGGCCCTCCTTGACTGCATTTGACTGCTGCTCGCCTCCGCTCCGTCTTTCGCCATCTTCACTCGGTGAAACCGACGCTCAAAACAAACCCTCTCCTGCGCCAGGGAGCCGCGCGCGACGCCGATCGGCGTCGAGCGGGACGCAGTCCGGCGGCAGAAGCCGAAGCCGGGGGCGGAGAGCGGATCCCATGGGGAAACAAAGGATCCCAAGCTGCAAGCCGTGTTTCTTCGATTGGACTGGCATTGGAAGTCAGAACCGTTACTTCGTGGGGACGCCGCAAGAATTCTCATGACTCATGTCCCTCCTCCATTGACCTGGACCAACAAAACATAGCAAAACCAAACTGGACGGCAGGTGGTGGCGTGTGATATTTCCTGATGATTCCCTTTCACAAGTCGTTCAGGGTCTTGCTAGTCCTGCCATCGGTGATTTAATGCGACAATTGCACATATATTTTCTGTATAAATAGTCCTGAAACCAGTCTACAAATACATGTCCAAAAACATAGTTCACATGGCAATCCATCCTAGCACTTAGGGGTTGTTGGTCAAAACAGAATGCTTGTTGGCCTGATATCACCCAACGAAGAGTTCATCAAAATCAAACGTTCCCATCATGGAAGTTGAACAAACCCGGTGGCAGCTGCGAAGGGAAAACTAGTCTGGTAGTGTCAATCTTTGCAATTTGTTAATTGCTGGTTGTTGAACACAGAAATCTCGTGAAATCTATGAAAGCATCAGCCAGATTGGTTGCTGCCTCAACCGATTGCTGTATGTGGCCCATCCACAATGTTTATTTGTCAATACGTCGCTGTGGTGTGGCTTGCAGCTTTGGAATGCCCCAGCCAGCGTCATCTACGATCTGCGGCAGCTCACCACTAGCTAAGCTGCCGCATCTGTGGCTCAACAATAATGGCCATACGACTGTGGATCATGGCACCAGGACACCCTACGTGGAAAGTCTTTCGCTCGCTACATGGTGGACTGGTCGGGCAAACATGGTGAAAAGAACCATCCCCATACTGTTTGGTGGATGTGCGTCTGACCATCCATGGGACAGGCCGGCCATTTACCAACATTCGGGTGGCTTCACAATTCAATGCATGTAGCCCATACCTGCATATTCATTGGACAAAAGTTGCGCACTTGATTTTGCAGGAGATTTCCGTGTACTCTCAAGAAATCTGTGCACATGAAGGCAAAATTCTGCAACTCAGTGTTGCGCATGGTCCTGTCTTCAAACACAAGACGGTCCTGCTTGTCATGGCGCCGGAGCCTGCGCTTCCAGCTCAATTTCATCTCCCATTTCAGTTTGATACGGATCCGCTCTAGCACTCTGTGGCTTGCAGTTCTTGAACTCACTCTCTGACATATCCTGCCAACATGTCCCACCACGGATTCATCAGCTTCGTAACTTTTGGCTATAGTGGACGGGGAAAGATGTGTATTGGACGGGAAAGACGTATAGGACGGGAAAGGACGTGTATTGGACGTGTATTTGACGGAATTTCCGGGTAGAACAAATTTATCACGTGGGGCTTTTCTTCAACAAATGAAGCCCTGCCTGTTTGACAAGCTCGATATAAGTCTCTTGAGGGAGCAGCGGACGCCATTCCTCTGGGATACCCTTCAACCCACAAAGGTATCTCACTACTTCTGACATAGCTGCATGTTTTCATTTGTCATTGTATGACAGGCTTTGGAAGTGGGAAAATGCCACCCAATACAGCCAAAATGGCTACAATCAGAAAACATGCATTTTAATTGACTGTTGTGTTGTTTTTCCTGAAAGATGTGTAGTGCACAGGAAATTCTGATTGCACCATTATGTTTTGATCATTTGAGGTTTGCAGGTATACATGGACGGCCTGGGATTGCCATACTGTTTGGTGGATGTCCTAATGGATGTGCGTCTGCTTGGTTGGTTTTTGGAGCTGAGCCTTAAAACAGCGCTTGCACTCACTCGCCTGGCAAGATGGGTAAGAGGACGGTGCACTTAGTTGATGTTTTCCTGACCCAGATTGAAGACAACCAAAAAAACAAACCCATGGAGATTGAATCTATAGGTATATACTAAACACCCGGGACAGTTTAGTTCTACGTAGCACGTGCAGAACTTTCCGGACGCTTTTAAAGCATCCGTTTTCCGAGCGCCAGCTTGTACCAGCGCCAAGTGAACGAAGGGTATATAAAACGGGATATATTGGGTCTATCCTATTACCAGGGCCCAGTGGATGATG